GGGCGGGGCCGCCGCTGTAGTCGTCGTGGCCCGGGGACGGGTCGGTGCTATAGCCGCCGCGGTGGGAGGAGCGGGGCGTAGAGGGGCCGCCGTTGCGGCCGCTGCCTTGGGGGCCGACGCGGCCGCCATTTTGATCGCCCGCCGCGGACCCGGGGCGCCGCGGCGGCGTTCCCGCGCCCCGGCCGGAGCTGCCGCTGCGCTGCGCCTGCAGCTGGGCGTGCCCCGCCGCGCCGCCCTGCATGCCGTCAAGGGCGGCCGGCGGACCGGGGATCGGGACCGGCAAGCCGCTTGCCGCAGCGGCGGCCGCGGCGGCGTCCGCCATCGGGCCGCCCGTCCAAACGCCGTACGCGCCCGCGCCGCCGCCGGCGGCGCCGGCAAAGCCCGGCGCCGGCGGCATGAGGGCATAGCCAAAGTCTGCGGCGCCGCCGGCGCCGCCGCTGATGGTGTATGCTGTCGCCGCCGCGGCCGCCGCGGCGGCGGCCGCGGCGCCGGGGTCGTCGGAGCCCATCCCAGCAATCAGCTGCGCATCGCCGCCGCCGCCCTGCTGCGCCGGCGCGCCCATGCCGCAGGCGTAGGGCGCGAAGGCGCTGAAGGCCGCAGCCGCCTCACCCGGCGAACCTTGAACCAGCGCGCCAGGGTAGCCGCCCGCGGCGGCCGCGACGGCGGGCCCGAACGCGCCCGACGCTGCCATCGCCTGCAGCGCGGCGGCCGCCGACGGGTCGGGGGCGGCCGCGAGCGCCGCGGGGTGCAGCGGCGGCAGCATCCCGGCGGCACCGAGCATGGCAGCGTATGCGGCGGCCGCAGAGGCAGGGTCCTGGGGGTATCCCAGCGCAGGCGGGGGCGCTGAGCCATAGTGCGGGGGCAGGGCGCCTCCTGGGCCGCGGGCTTGGGGCGGGCGTGCGGGCGGGCCGGACGGGGCGCCGTGCGCGCGTGCGGGGTTCCTGTGGGTGAGGGGATGAGGGGCGCATTTGGAAGTCTTCGTTGGCGGGGGTTTCATCAGAGAGGGCTTTGATGCTCTGGGGCTTATTCCATTAGCCCCAGCAATGGTGCCACAGAGTCACATCTAATGAGCCTGGATGGCTCCAGGAGTGGGCGACCGCAGGATCTTGCAATGTTCGTATTCCTAATCCCAATCTCATTTGATCTCCCACAGGGACCTCCTGGAGTCAGTTTTGCCCTGCACTGGTGCTGCTGGCAAGCGCCGATCTTGGAATTGCGCTGCACGTCGGGCAGCCACGTCTCACCCCAACCAGCCCAGCAGGCAATCAACCGACTATATGTGCGCGCCGGCGGCTGGCTACAGTGCTGGTGACGTCGACACCGCCAAGCCCCACCTTGCTTGCAAACAAGCACGCAAGCAAGAAAGACGTGTGCAGACATTCCACACCTTGATTGCCCCCACCACACCACGCCCCCTTGCCCCTTCAGTAATGATGCTCGGCCCTCCCGGGAGCCCCCACACACCTCTGCCCCGGCAGCCCGATGTGCGTCCCCTTGAGGGAGGCGGCGTACGGCACGGTGCTCTTGGGGGGCGGCTGGTATGAGAACTCGACGCCCAGCACGCGCTGGATGCGGGGCACTGCCTGGCCTGCGGTGGCCGGGGGGGCGGGAGTCAGGTCAGTGACAGCAGGAGTTGGGGTCGGGAGTGAGCTCACCGCTTGCTGATGCGGCAAGTTGTGACTTGTATCTAAGTGGCTGACGCCCGGTCAGGCCTCACCCTGTTGAAGCACCAGAGCCTCGCTGCCCAGCTCCTGGCTTCGGCCGAGCAGAAGCATATGTGTGGCGCCCCTGCCTGGGTGGGGGCCTTGCGCGGACGGACAAGCCGCTCACCCGTGTACTTTCCCTCGCACAGCTCCTTGTAGCGGTCCACCGCGGCGGTGATGACGTAGATGGCCTGCGCCATGCTGCGGCGCTCCCCCTTGGAAACAGGCGAGAGAGAGTGTCAGGGGAGGCAAGGTTTGGGGGGTGGGGGCGGGGCTAAAGCGTCAAGCCTTCCAGTGCCTTTGAAGGGGGTCTGAAAGGCACTTCACGGCACAAATGGGCAGGCGCCACAGTGACTGCGGCCTGGCAATGGGCGCATGCGCAGCGACCGCAGGTCGGGTGGACGGCCCGTTGTGAGGCAGGGCCCGTGCATTTTGTGTGGGCTTACACTTATGCACGCAGTCTTTGACATGGAGGCCCTTGTTCGGCAGCCGGCCAGCCCGCTCGACAGGCACATATGCAGAATGATGCAGCTGACCTCTCCTGATCCCCACCCAGGGCTGCCAGCCCCTTTGCGCCCGCCTCGCCCTCACCCCAATGAGGAAGATGCGCGCGGGGCGGCGTGTCCTGGTGGAGCTGTGGGCCTCCGTCCAGCTCTTGATGTCGGCGCCGGTGCGCCGCATGATCTCGCGCACGCTGGCGCCCGCGGGGCCTGGTGCCGGTTGCGAGGATAAGGGGAGGCATTGGAGGTAAAGTATCCTATGGGCATTCGGGCAACAGCCGATACACACGCTTGAGCCCGCCAAGGGCCCTGCGGAAGGGCGCCCTGCGTCGTGCGCCCGCTCGGCGTGGGCTGGTGACCCACCCACCTATGACGAAGCCAGCCGCCAGCAGGGTGATCCTCAGCATGACGTCACCGCTGGCGGCCACCTCCTCAGCCGTCAGGATGCCCTATTGGCAAGGCGAGGCAGGTCCAGAGCATGTTGCTCGTCGGGGGTAAAGAACCCGGGGGTTGATGGAACAGGTCGTGCACAGGGCAGTTGTGGGCTCAAAGGAGCAGGGGAATGTGCCGTTGCTGCACATCCCCGATCCTAGCACCTCACCTGCTCTTCGTCCTCTGTACCTTCTCCGGGGCGCCGGGGGCCTGCGGCACCGTGTTTGGGCAGCGATGGCCAGGGACGCAGGCAGCTCAAAGCATGAAGGCGCGTGCCGCCCAGGAGGCTGCGGCCGGCAGAAGTGTCAGGGCTTCTGAAACGACGACAACCTCGTCAAGCGGCACTGCTGCTCGCCCCGCGTTCCTCAATCCCTCGTGCAGGGCTACTTCGCCCAAGACCTTAAACCTGCATCGCCCAACCACCAAATCCCCCTGCCAACACTCCCATTGAGCCCTGGGCCCCATGCTCTAGGACAGCAAGCAACACCCTAGTCTACCCCGCCCCACCGCTGGGCTGGATCCAGATCTTCATGCTGCCCTTGCTGCCTGCCGAAGACGACACGCTGCTGCCCGCGCTCTCGCTCCCCAGGCTGGTCCGCCGCGGCGGGTTGTTGGTGGCCAGCTTGCGGTCACGGATGAATCCAAGCATGTTGCTCACGACCTCACCGGCAGCCGCGTCGCCGGCGCCGAGGTCGGCGGCGCTGCCGCCGCTTCGAGTCTGTGACTGCGGGCCCGCAGAGGCGGGCCGGGACGAGGGGCGGGACGACGGCGCGCGGGGCGCCGATGCGAGCGGCGGCGGCGTGTGCGCGGCCGGCGCAGGCGGCGGCACGCCGCCCGCGTGCGGCGCGGAGGATGCCGCGGCCACAGCGGCCGCCTCCTGGCCGTGCGTCTCCTGCACCAGGCGCAGGTATGTGGCCAGCATGAGCGCCTCGGCCGGGTCGGCCACTGGCGCGGGCGTCGACTCTGGCAGGGGCTCGACCACGGGTCGCCCGATCCCCGACGGCGTGCCGCTGTTGGGGTGCGCCGCGCCGCCGCCGCCGCCCGTGGCGGCGGGTGCGGCGGGGTTGCAGGGCGGCGGCGCGTACGTGGTGGCCGGCTGCAGTGCCGCAGCGTCGTGCGCGGCCAGTGTTCCGAAGGACAGACCGGCGGCGCCTGCAGGCGCTGGCATGGCGCCGGCAGCTGCACGCTGGTCGCGGTCAGGGTAGACATCGGCGCGGCTGGGGACACGGCCGCCGCTTGAGTGGTGTTGGTAGTGTTGACTGTGCTGTTGATGGTGCGTCGAGAAGCCGCCGGTGTCAGTGTCCGAGGAGAAGGGCATGGTGTCGCGAGACTCGATAGTGCTGAGCTTGCCGAGGGCGCTGCACGTGGGTGCAGGGTTTTGAGGCAGCAAAGTTGAAGAGGGAAGCTGCTTGGTACTGGCATGTTCCACGTCGCAGAGGGGGTGCTTGATTGGTGGGCGCTTTGTTGCATGCATGGCTCATGGGCTAATCACGTTTTGATATTCAGACAGGCATGGCATGGTGCCTGTGCATTGCACCTGTGCATGTCTGCACAAAGATCTAGTGATGGTGTGCATATTCCGAGGTGGCATCGACGCGCACGCTCACGTACCGTATTTGCAGCCCAAGCCCCCGGCCCACCTCGCGACGTCCATGACGACGTGCCTTCCTAGCTAACAGTGTTATAGAGGTCACGAGGTGCCCGCCTGCAGCAATCGTGTGGTGCACTCAACCCGGCTTGGCCGGTGCCGGACGTACCAATTTGGTTGTTGATGGGCCCTGCGAATAGCATCAGCAGAGCAGGTGGCCGCATGTGGCGCACGTCAGGGGCCATGTGTGGCGTCATGGGGGTCACATGAGTCCATTAAACGCATGCCAGGTGCATGAGCGGAGTCCAAGGCGCAGGGTCGCGCGGGCCAGGATGCGGTGACCGTTTTGGACACGCGCCACAACGAGGTCAGCGGCCGAATCAGCTGAATGCGCGGTGCGCCTGCCTGCATCGCACGCTGCGTTGGCTGTTGCATCAACTTGGTTCCAAGCACGCTTGAAGCTTCCCAGTACCGCACCTGCGTGGTCGTGGGCTCGCTGCGACAGCACGAATCCACAAGATCGCTTTGGGAGGCCAGCTCCGCGACGGTGCTCAAGATACGAGGGATATCGTATACCTGGAGGACGGTTTTGGGATGAAACGAGCCGTTTTCGCTTTGCTTGTCGAGCCAAGGTGGTGGCTTGGCTCCCGGCAGCTCAGCCCCGCTGCAGGCTCATGAAGCAATGCAAGGCTATACACAGCGTCCCTCAAGCTTCTCACCTGTCTCCGAGAGCCCCTCGATGCTGAGCAGATCACAACAATCCGATGGCGCGCGTGCAGTGTTGTGAGCCAACTGCAAAGGACGCTAGACGATCGGCGATTCGTGAAGCAACAACGCTCATAAGCAACGGTTGCAGTTCAGGTGCGGCCCACGCGTTTGTAGCCAGCTGAGCGACGACGCTCCTCCTCGCGGCGATTCTGTTGAAGGCCATCGAGTCAGCGTTGCAATTTTAAACGGACTCGAAAATATCGATATCCAGGGCTGAATGTAAGCAGCGCTGGGACGGGAGCCGTGGGCGACACTGTGATCGTGCCTCGTCGCAGCAAACATCGGCCGCGCGCACGTGCTGAATTGGATGACACTGCTTGGAGACGCTCACAGTAATTCAGAACAATTACCATTGCCGGCAGCTGCAGCGCACCATGCGCAGCCCCTGCAGCAGGTTGCAACTGCTGCTGCCTCTCTCACTCTGCAAGCGCCGACCCTTCCGGCTTCAGCCCACTTACATCCACCAAATATAGGCAGGACCTGGCCCTGACGCAAGGGCTTTGGCAGCGTAGGAGATACAAAAAGCCATTCGGATGACAGTTGCTCTGAAACAGTCACAAACTATAACTCACAATGCAGCGCGCTGGTAGCAGCCGGAACACGTCAGGAACGTGCGTGCGCACCCATGGCGCGGGGCCAAAAAGCTAGCAGCCGGCTGAGCGGTTGCAGGGAGCTGTATTGGATACAGTACAAGGTTGCTACACCTAAACCAGCAACTATGCGAGAATGCCCAAACGCCAAAAGCAAAACGACTTGTCTACAAGCATTGTGGACATTCGGGACCCGCGCGCGGCAAACACGGATCAACGTGTAGCAGTATGCATGTACACGGTTCAAGTCGCCATGGTGGGCCCTCGATTTCTGTGCAAGCGAGATTGAGAGACTTTTGCGCACCATCCGCTTGAGCTGCTTGCAACCGACAACTCTTTCTGCTAATCAGCAGCTCGAGCTTACACTGGCCCAACTGGGCAGGACAGTTTAAGTGGGCATCTGGGCAGCTTGGGAGTTGAGAGCTCGAACAGCTCGCGCGCTCCTGGTGAACGCTGCAGTTGAGGAGGCGGCGGTGTGTCACCACGAGTGATGGGCGCCTCGTGGATGGGACGGCCTCCCCTGAATAGTCATGGATCCCCAGTGGTGCACAACATTCTGTTACACATACGTAAATTCCTGTCGGCTGTCTTGATCATACACGCATTGTGCAACCATTGCAGCGTGCAGCCCAGCCTCACCTGTCCGCCATCACACGTGTACACAGTCGCATATAGTTAAGGTCAATGCAGACTTTTCGCGCCGGCCATGGAGTTGGGGCGCAGCGGGCAGCAGCAGCGGGGGTGCAGACGCAGCAGCGCATCGTAGTCAGCAGCAGGCAGCGCAGTAGGATGCTGTCGCGGAGAGCAGCCATTGAGGAGAAGCGCGAAACCACGGAGACGACCTCCACGCCAGTGAGAGTGCCAGGAGATCTTAGAGTGCTTCAGGCCAGGACATGGGCGCCAATGGGGCGTCAACAGCGCGATTTTCGGATGAGAAACACCACTAACATTTTAGTTTCTCCCGCGGAAGGCCGCCGCTTTGCAAGATGGGCATGCTTCGCCGCCCACGCAGCCGACTGATGCTGCCAGCGCTTGCCTCCTGATGGCGTCCCGCGCCCCCGCTGCAGTCGGACCTGCTGCCTGACAAGCTCGCCGAGCTGCGGCGCCAAGCACGCGACGCACCAAAGCAGAGCAGCAGCAACATTGTGCAGGTGCGAGGCCCGCCATGGCGCGCGTAGGCTCGCTGGTGTGGATGTCACTGCATCGCCGCTTCGCCAAGCCAGCCACCCAGTGGCAGGCCGTGCCCTGCCTTACGTCACGCCTGCATGCTGGCGCTGGCTTACAGGGCGCCCTGGACGAGGCGCAGCTGATCACATGGCCCAAGCCCGGCAAGGTGCGCCCACGTCGCATGTTGCTCTGTGGAAGCAGCCCTCGGGCTGCTCTGTTGTGGAATGAACGGTTCTTACGCCTAGCATGTGTCCAACAGTCTTCGTACATCCGGTGACAAAGCCACCGTCTTCGGTCATGAGTGATCCAGTATTCGTGGACGCGCAGCCGACCTTTGCCCATCGGCCCGCACTTCTCCCCATGGTGCCGTGGCCAGGCGCTGCTGGACACAGTGTTGGTGCTGGCGATCGTGGCCGGGACGGGCACGGCGCTGTTCGGCGTGAATGTGCTCCTAACGGACGCCTTCAACTGGTGGTACCACCACTGAACGCCGCTGGCAGTGCGGGCGGTAGCTCCAGTTGCAGCGGCTGTGAGGGGACCTTCAGAGGATTTTGCACCTCATGCAACCGACGTCGGCCATCAGCGTCAGGAATGTGACACCTTTCTCCTTGCTGTGTTGCCGTTGCTGAACTTCCTCTCGCCAGCCTTTGGCAGAGGCGTGGCATCCTGTACGCGCGAGCCGAAGAGGCTCACCGGTAACGACACAGTTTCGTGATGTGCACAGCTGTCTTGGAAGGCGGCTGAGGGCCATGAGCCACACCTGCAGCTGTTGACAGCAGCCACCTGCCGCGGCCGTGTGGGGCCACTGACCCAAGTATGTTGCCCCGCATACAGGATGGTGACAGGGGCTGGCTACCCGTCTAAACTAGTCAGTACACAACGGTTGAGCATGCATTGCTAGCAGGCTCAAATAGACTCTGGTGTGTGAGGCCGTTAGAGTTGTCCCGGCGCGGCTTGAGCCATGGTAGTGCAAGGGCAGGAAAGTCAAAGCGACGGTCAAACCAGCGTCAGCTGCTCATCTTGACCATATACGCTCACATACACGCGCTACTTGTACGTTGAACAATTCTTCTTACTCTCACTGAGGAATTCAGAGACGGTGGTCAATGCACTCCACCATGTCTTCCTGCCTCACGCTGGGAATTTCTGAGCTCTCGTCATTGTCAGAGCCGAGATCTCCTACCGCACAGCTCGAGCGGTCCGAGCGTGCGGCATTCAACTCAGCATGCCAGGGTTTTTTGAAAGCAGTATCTTGCTGGGTAAAGAGCTCAGCGGCGCACCGCCCTGGGTGTGCCAGGTGCGACGCACGCGTCAGCACGACTGCGCCAGCACAGGTGTATCTGATCATCAGAGTTGCTTCATTGCGCACTGTCTTATTCTCCGCGGCGCTCTTCGACACTGCAACTACCTTGTAATGCACAGTGTGTTCACGCTTAGAACTCGCGCGCACCATCCCCCGATCCGCGATCTGATTGTTCGCGTTTAGGAATCGTGGTCGCTTTGCCTCATTTTTGCACTTGGCTGGTCCCTCCACGAAGGCGATCGCAGGGCGCACCGTAAGTTGGTGCAGGGCCTCTTCGTCTTGTGAAAGCCTTGCAGAGAGGAAGCAGCTGGTGGGTTTCTGCCGACACTGAGATGAACGGTCTTTCGGTGGAGCCGCCTGGCACGGCGGCCGCCGGCAGCGAAGGCGGCGGCCCACTGTCGCCGGCGAACACAGACCGCCCCACCTCCAGCGGTGGCACAAGGCAGAGGCGCGGCCGGCCCTTCTTCATAGGCGTTGCAGGTAGGAGAGCGATCTCAGATCTGGGATCCTGGGTGCTGTTGCGCCACACGCCACCGCCTACTGTGGCACGTTGCCGCTGCCTCGGCTGCAGCTGGCAGGGGCTTCGCCTCGGCCGATCGGTCTTGAACAGACAAGCACACCCCGTCCCGCCCCCGCGCTCCAAGGCGGCACCGCGTCCGGCAAGACGACGGTGTGCAACAGCATCATGCACCGCCTGCACGACAGCTGCGCGGTGATTATCCACCAGGACAGCTTCTACCGCTGCCTCTCAGAGGCGGAGCGGCGCGACGTCGGCAACTACAACTTCGACTCGCCCGACGCCTTTGACAACGCCGTGCTCATGGAGTGCATTTCGCAGCTCAAGGTGGGCGGGCCTCGTTGCTAGGGGCGCGCCACGGCATGGAGCTGAGGTCAAGCCGTCCGAGGCACTTTGGGCTGGCGTCGCGCCCGCCGCCTGCGTTTGCCCGTGCGAAGCCGGGCCCGCGAATCCGCGGCGCCTGGGAGCAACGCAGGGGGGCGGCCGCCGCGGCCGGCAACCCAAAGGCTGCAATGGGGTGGCGGCGAGCCGTGCAGCGGCGCCGCGCACGCCTGCAGCGGTTGTGCTGGGGGCGCCGCGCCGAACGGCAGGGCAGCACCAGCGGCCGGTGCGCGCGTCCGGGCCCCGCGTCTCGAGCACCCGCAACCCCGCGGCCCCACTTGCAGGCGGGCAAGTCTGTGGAGGTGCCGGTCTATGACTTCACAACCCACTCGCGGAGAAAGGACGAGGTGCGGCTCGGGCTGCGCCACCCTCTGGCTCGGGCTGCGCCACCCCGATCCGCATCGGGCCGGCGGCGGGCGCCCCAGCGCTGCCAATGGCGGCCCCCGGGTCCCCACGCGGGCGGCCCGGCGCCGTCTGGGCACCCACCGCGCGTCTGGCGTTTCTGCTGCCTGTTCGTAGGTGCGGAAGGTGGAGGCGGCGGACGTAGTAATTGTGGAGGGCATCCTGGTGAGAGGAGCGTGTTTTCATTTTTAGGAGGGCAGAGGACGCCCGCGGGGGCCGCAGCGGGCAGCCCCGGGCCTGCGAGCGGTCGGCGCGGGGGCAGGGCGGGTCTGGGCGGCCGGAGGCAAGCGGCGGCGCCCGCGCGGCGACGGGGCGGCAGCGGGGGCCCGGCCGTGCCCGGGCAGCGGCTGCTGCGCGGGGCGTGCAGCGCAGCTGGCGGCGTCCGTCTTGGTTCCCTCGGCCCCCGCGTGTGACGCCCTGGCTGCCGCGCCGTTCCTGCCCGCCAGGTGCTGCACGACCCTGTGCTGCGGGAGGAGCTTAACATGAAGGTTAGGGGGAGGGGGCGGCCGCACGAAGCCTGCGCCCTCTTACACCCGGGTGCACCTCACCGCAGCCGTTGGGGCGTCAGGGCCTGCGTCCGCGTTGATCGCGGCCGCTGGGACCCCTAGCTGGCCTCCGGACGCGTCCACCTTTTGATTCCTAAACCTGGAACCCAGCTGCCAGGTGTCACAGGCATTGGTGCCCGCCACGTGGAGATTTTTGCGGACACAGCATGATCTACCACTGAGTTCTGGACGCACACGCCATTAGGCTTGTTGGGACCAGCAAACCCGACAGCATGTGCGTCGGAAACTTGGGACCAACCAAGCTAACCTGATCGATCCTATTGACCGCTATTTGACCACCAGATCTACGTGGACACGGACGACGACGTGCGTCTGGCGCGGCGCATCCAGCGGGACGTGCAGCAGCGGGGGCGCGACGTGGCGGGAGTCATAGAGCAGTACACGCGGGTGAGCGGGGCCGGGGCGGGCTGTGGTTTGCTGGCGAGTCCAGGTTTTTGCCTCAGAATGGTGTTGTTGTTGATTGTGGTGGTGGTGGTGGTGGTGGTGGTGGTGGCCAGAGTTGCTGCCAGGGGGTCACCTAACAGTGCGTGCGGCGGGGCGTGGCCGCGGCTGGCCTGCTTGCTGCGTTGCTGGCAGAGGGCCGCCTTCCCCAAGCTGGCTCGCACGTTTGGGCCTGCAACTGCTCTCGGACTGGCAAAGCAAGCAGCATTTTTTTAGCAGCGTGGATGCGAGGGCCAAAGTCATCTGTTCAGGACGTTGCACATCCACGCTCGAGTTGCATGCCAAGGCGTGCCTCAGTGATGCACGCATCTTGACACCTTGTCCCGCTGTCGCAGTTCGTCAAGCCGGCGTTTGACCAGTACGTGGCCCCCAGCCGGCGCTACGCGGACGTCATCATCCCCTGGCAGGTGCGGCATGAGCATTTGCATGCACGTGCGCGCGCGTGTGACACAAGTATGAGTGCGCAGGCACGCACGGGCCCTTCTGGATCGTCTGCCAAGTGTCCATGTGTGCGTGCTCGTCTGCCAGAGTCTCTCCCTCCCTCGTTACTTTTTGCTCCTGCATCTCTCACTCAATCACTCCCTCCCTGCCTCCTCACGAGCCTCCTCCTCGCCAACGCCGCCGCCCCCGCACTTCGACGCACCTCCTCTCCCCACTTTGACCTCCCACCCCCACCCCCCACACGCACACCCAATCCCCCCAAGCGCGGCGACAACCTCGTGGCGATCGACCTGATCACGGAGCACATCCGCGCCAAGATGCAGCAGCACCACCTGCGGCGGATATACCCAAACCTGGAGCTGCTGCCGTCCAACTACCAGATCAGGGGCATGCACACCATCCTCAGGGACCGCACTACCAACAAGAACGACGTGAGCCCGCCCGGCGCCCTCCCACTTAGCCTTTGCTTCGCTTCTTCTGTGTCAATCGGCAGCTTTTGGGGGCCTGCCGCTGGGCGTGCGTGCGATCGCCATCATACGGTCCAGTATGGTCTGCGCCGCACCTGTCGAATAAAATGCGCGCCAAGCGCACACCGCGCCAAGCTCGCACGCCCTCTCTTGGCACCCACTTGCCCCAAAAAGCGTCCGTGTGTGTCCACCAACACTGTGTCCCCAAATTGACGTTGGCTCCCGGACAACCCACCCCCAGTTTGTGTTCTATGCGGACCGCCTCAACCGGCTGATAGTGGAGGCCGGGCTGGGCCACCTGCCCTTCATAGAGAAGCAGGTGCGCCTTAGGGGGGGGGATGGGCGGGGCAGGGCAGCCACCGCAGCGGCCGCGCATGCGCCTGCGCCGCCCGCTCCACCGCTCGCGCGCAATCGGGCGGCCGGCGAGCCGGCGCGTGCGGCGGCGGCGGCGGCGCGCGCCGCGGAGCCTGTGGGGCGCCGCGGTTTGCGGGCGGCGTGTGGGCGGCTGCTGATTGGTGTTCTTGCCGCCCTCTCTCTGTTTTCTATGTTTTCTGCAGGTGACCACGCCCACAGGGTCGCAGTACGTGGGCGTCGAGTTCGCGCGGCGGCTATGCGGCGTCAGCATCATCCGCAGCGGTGCGGCGGGGGCGGGAGCGTGGCGGGGCTGGGGGTTGGGGACCGAGCAGCAGCTCCAAGAGAGGGTGGGCGTGCGAGCAGGGGCCAGCAGCCACACGCCGGCGGGGCTGTACAAACCATCCGCGTGTTTTGCTGCTTTGTCTTCGCGGAGTCCATCGGATCCTGTCTCACCCGACGCTCCTTTTCAGACCGCCGTCAACACCCCAGCGCTAACCCCAGCGCTCTCCGGCACTCGCCGACATGCCAGCCCGTCACCCGCACCGCCCGCCGTCCGTGCACGCGCTCCACAAACGCTCTGCCCCTGTCCTCTTGGACAGACGCGCCGCGTTGCCGCCCTGCCGCAGAGTCGAGCTTGGAGGCAATGCTGCGCACGCGCACACCCCACTCACACATACACACACACACACACACACACACACACACACACCCTTCGCCCCGTGCGTCGCCGCGCCGCTGTGCCGCAGGGGAGAGCATGGAGGCGGCGCTGCGCACGTGCTGCAAGGGCGTCAAGATCGGGAAGATCCTCGTCGTGCGCCACCACGGCCGCCGCGGCTGCGACGGCGCGGGCGACGGGCCCCTCACGCCGCCCGGCAGCGCGACGCCGCCGGGGAGCGCGACGCCGCCGGGGTGCGCGACGCCGGCGGGGCGGGCGCCGTCGAGCTTTGGGGACGGGCTGCTGAACGGGCAGGTGAGTCATGAGGGGGTGGAGGTGGGGGTGGGGACGAAGGGGGAGAGCGGAGGGTGAGCGGCGACAAGCACGGGGCACCGTGGTCGCGCGACTTGACTGGGGTAGGCCTTCTTGACAGTACTTTGTGCATGGGGTTTGGGCGCCCTAGGCAGCGTCGCGCCCTGACCTTGCCAATTCTAGGCCCGGAGACGCGTCGTGGCTGTGGCTACCTCCCCTGCCCCAACTCACACACCCATCCCATACAAACCCTTGCTGCACCAACATCCAATCC